CTATTTATCTACTTGCACCCGGGGGTGCTTTCGAACTGCTAGGTTGGCAGGCGCTGGGACCGAGCAACGGGAGCGCACCCCGCCGCGGGGATTCGAACCGCCGACCTTTCGATCAGCAAGTCCTAGGTGCTGAGGCTTTAACCCACAGCGCCACCCGCGTCCCTATAATGAATGAATGAATAAATTTATTACGGTCATAGACCAGAAGAAAAGAAAAAAACATAAAAGGCAGCAATAATTTACAAGGGAATGATGGTGTCAATTAAAAGTTGTAAAATTATACATAAAAACAATATACATATACACCCACACCCACACACACGCACATATACATACTCATATATGCACTACAGTATATGTATGGGCTTAAAAAAGGGGGGGGCTTATCCAGGGGTCAGATCTTTTACTTTTTTACAGCTAATGCCCTCCGCTTGATCGCGGCCGCAGAAAACTTGGCCACTTTCAGTGTTACTTCTGGGTTTTTATCTCCTAGTAGGATTTTCAGCCGCTGAGATTCAGATCGACCTGGAAATTTCTGAACGATAGGGGAGATAAACAGTAACCTGATATCCCCGTAAAGGTCGCAGTGTAACAGCACATGTGAAGCCGTTTCCACCTCCTTCAGACCACATGGGCAAACTCGTTCAGCATAGGGTGTGCCCTCGTATCTGCCCTTTAGTAAGGCAGATGGCAATACATCAAATCTGGTAAGGGTAAACGCCCGCCTATATTTTGCGATTTGTAGGTCCAGCAAATATGGGGTTAGATTAAACCCTTTTTCATAATCTTGGATAGCTGGATATTTATCTATCTTGCTCATATGGTCCTGAAGCTCTACGTCTCCTATTCGCTGGCTCACCATCATTTTAGCCTTTTCAAAGCCTGAGGCTATGAGTTCTTGTGGGGAACCTATAATATATTATGGCTTAGTAAATTTTAACAATTCTGCACTTTATGGATACCACTAAGCACAGTATTCCGTAGATGCAAGTAAGAGTGATTATACTTTGCATGAATTCTTCTTACTGTTGCCTCTGACATTCCTGTTCATTGCCATTTGCCACGGATTTCCCCACCCTGCCCAAACTTTCTCCTTTTTCCAGCTTCACTGTCTCCAGGACTGGACCAAGGGGATCATTTTTATAACCTCAGAAGCGAATGAACCAGTTGTGACTCTCCTCCGTGACTCATTTGTATGCAGGTTTAGTCACTTGTTACACTTTGCTTATCACCAGGAACCTGGGAGATCTCGACGGCATTATCGTTTTGACTGGTACGATTTCATTAAAATGCAAATTTAATTGCCCTGCACACAGAGAAATACCACAGAGATTATCCTAAGGCCAGTTAATTGCCCAGAGCTGCTGCAAAATCTTTGTGTGTGTGCCGGTCCAATTTTTGCTTCAGATACCCGAGTAATTCCCACCCCCGAAACTGTTTCCACATTACCACTTGACTGATGCTATTTATAGGCTTGCCTTTTCTAAGAGCATCACACCAGGGCTGCATTTAATGAGGACCTCTGTTAAGTTGCATGACACTGCTTCAAAGATGCTTTTATGCTCCATATATTCACTTTTTTTAATTAAAGAAGAAAGTTGCTGTAGATCTCTAAGCACTTGGCATCCATGAGCAAGGCTTTCTGATTTTGCATCTGGGCCTCCATTTATTTCTCAATTATTTGAATTACTTACCCTTTTTTAACTCACTGGATCTTATGTGCCAGCCCATCCTATTTCATGATTACACAGAGGGATCTGTTACTCAAAGGAGATTATTCTGGGGGTCCTGATGATGAGCCTTTTGTGGGCTCATAAAAGCCTGCAGTGGCAGATCAGAATTCCTGAAACGTAGGGCTTATGCACACTTGGTTTGCCCTGCCGCTTTCTCCTGGGGAAACCCAGAGTTTAGTGCTAAATTGGAACTAACACCAGCTGGGTTTTCTGTGAATTGCTGTTTGTTCCAATTAGCGCTAAAGAGCAGGTTTTCTGGGGAAATGCAGCAGGGGAAGGGCAAAACTGTTTGGATCCGTGGCTACAAAACATGGGGCAAGTGAAAGTGTGGACGAACCCATTACGAAGGTGGAGGGTGCTGAGTTAGTGTAGATGTGAGCTTTCTCTTACATTGAGGTGGGAATCTGCTTGTTCCCACCTGTTTGGGAGCTGTAGAGGTTTTTATATGTTGCTGTAGATCTGTGGATGTAAAATGCTTGGGTTCAATCAATGTTAGGATTTAATTAGAACTGGTGTGTTAGGAGCAGGGAAAGACAGACCCAAGTGTGTATTGGGGGTCTTAAGAGGTGTGGTGGTCCCAATGATAAGCCTTTGTAATAATCACATGTAAAAGCTACTGAAGAAGGCACACTTCCTGGGTTGTGTATTTTTCCGTTAACAATAGAAATGAGCAAACCAGTGATATTTAGGGAGCAGGTTATCAGACGGGGCCCATTACTTACATCATAGGAGCCTACACAACACAAAACACTGTTGCTGTATGTATTTGTTATTTTATTTGTTTTTTTATCTTATATTTTGGAAATGTACATCCAGGGTTTTTTTCCTTTAATTTTTTTGGGGGTCCCCAAGAGAGTGGGGCCCCAAGCTATAGCTTCTTTAGCTTATACATAAATCTGGCACTGCCGCTGGGAGAGATCATCAGGGGGTTTGGGCTGGGTGTTCATCAGTATGTGGATGATACCCAGCTCTACCTCTCTTTTAAATCAGAACCAGTGACAGTCCTGTGTGAGTGTCTGGAGGTGGTTGGAGGATGGATGGCGGCTAACGGATTGAGGTTGAATCGTGACAAGACATAAGTACTGTTTTGGGGGACAGGAGGCAGGCAGGTGTGGAGGACTCCCTGGTCCTGAATGGGGTAACAGTGCCCCTGAAGGACCAGGTGCGCAGCCTGGGAGTCATTTTGGACTCACAGCTGTCCATGGAGGCGCAGGTCAATTCTGTGTCCAGGGCAGCTGTTTACCAGCTCCATCTGGTACGCAGGCTACCCTATCTGCCTGCAAACTGTCTTGCCAGAGTGGTGCATGCTCTAGTTATCTCTCACTTGGACTACTGCAATGCACTCTACGTGGGGCTACTCCAGAATGTGGCAACTAGACTGGTGACTGGGACCGGCCACCGAGATCACATAACACCGGTCTTGAAAGATCTTCATTGGCTCCCAGTAAGTTTCCGAGCACAATTCAAAGTGTTGGTGCTGACCTTTAAAGCCCTAAACGGCCTCGGTCCAGTATACCTGAAGGAGCGTCTCCACCCCACATCGTTCTGCCCGGACGCTGAGGTCCAGCGCCGAGGGCCTTCTGGCGGTTCCCTCATTGCGAGAAGCCAAGTTACAGGGAACCAGGCAGAGGGCCTTCTCGGTAGTGGCACCCGCCCTGTGGAACGCCCTTCCACCAGATGTCAAAGAGAACAACAACTACCAGACTTTTAGAAGACATCTGAAGGCAGCCCTGTTTAGGGAAGCTTTTAATGTTTAACAGACTATTGTACAGTGGTACCTCGGGTTACAGGCGCTTCAAGTTACAGTCGCTTCAGGTTACAGACTCCGCTAACCAAGAGATAGTACCTCAGGTTAAGAACTTTGCTTCAGGATGAGAACAGAAATCATGCAGTGGCAGCAGCAGGAGACCCCATTAGCTAAAGTGGTACCTCGGGTTAAGAACAGTTTCAGGTTAAGAACGGACTTCCAGAATGAATTAAGTTCTTAACCCGAGGTACCACTGTATTTTAATATTTTGTTGGAAGCCGCCCAGAGTGGCTGGGGAAACCCAGTCAGATGGATGGGGTATAAATAATAAATTATTATTATTATTATTATTATTATTATTATTACTACTACTGCATGGCACCTACGGCCCCGGCCCCCCACAGTCGCGGGGCCAAGCTGGCACTCCTGGTCCTCACCCGTACCTTGCGACCTCAAAGCTGGCTTTTTAATTTTATTTTTTTATTTTTTAAAAAAGCAATTATTAATTTTGCACATAGTTTAGGAAAAAATAAAACGCAACAGGAGAGAAATGGTGAACCACATTTTGGTGGGCAGCGGATGGGAGCAATGTAAGTGACCGGGTTGTGGTAGGCTTCGCAGAAGGGATGCAATAATAGGAGAGGAGCTGGAAATGAGCGCGGAGGGGGAGGCGTTAAAAAATATCAGAGTAATTCTGCAAAAATCATGCCTTTCCCCCTTTTTGCCATACGTCCGCCGAGGATGCCGTTCAGGGCAGCTGCGCCCTGCTCCTGTCGATAGCGGGAAAAGGGGCTGCACTGGATTCCTCGACCCTCAAAATCAGAGAATCGGGCGCTCTGGCAGGAATTGCGGCAGCTTGCATCACCGCTCGGATGTATTTGTTTTTAAAGCAGTTTTTTAGCTGCTTTGTGCAAATAAAAGAAAAATAAATAAGTAAATACATCAATAAAGATTCAATAATTCCTTTTTCTTTTTCTTTAAAAAGTATAAAGGTAGAGGTAATCAACATTAGAAACAACAATTTAGAAAGAGTAAATTTTTGAGGTCTTAGAACAAAGGAAGGAAGGCAATATGTGTACATGTATGTAATGACTAGATTAGAATGAAGATATGGTTTCATTTGTAGATGTGTGTGTGTGTGGTTTTTTTTTCTTTTTTGTGTTTTGCTTTTCTTTCTTGTTTTTATAGTTTTACTTTGGATTCAATGTTTGTAATTTTTGTTGTAATTTTGCATTTAAATATATGTGTGTGTGTGTGTGTGTGTGTGTGTATATATATATACCTGCATTCCTGTACCCGTGAAAATCTACGAAAGCAAATATATATATATATATATATATATATATATATATATATATATATATATATATATATATATATATAAAAAAATAAAAATAATTATCTCTTCAGACGGGCCTAAAAAATCTTCTGGCTGACTCGTGCCATTCTAGAGGCGGCTTCTCCTTTTGAATGGAGTCGGAGTAGCTGCGCATGCGTGTCACTCTTCTCTTTTCCTATCTCTATGGGGTGGGGAGGCGGGGCTTGGACTTCCTTTTACCGCCTTCCTTTTGCGACAGCTGCCGGAAGTGAACGCCGGAAGTGTTCCGCGCAGATTGCAGGTGGGCACCGAGTGTGAGAGTTCTTCGTGGGTACGGAAGGGAGCGAGTGGCGGGGACGGGACACGGGCGAGGCAGGGGAGGGGAGCGGAGGGGCATGGAGGTTTAAGGCTTAGACCTGCTTGGCATGGACACGTGTGCGCGCACGTGTGAAGGCGTGCACGCAACATCATGCAGGGCAGCAGCACGTATAATCGCCCTTGATTGTTCCTGCTACCCCCTTTGAGAACCACTGCTTTATGCTGTATTGTTAGCATCGTGTTCAGTCTACCAGGCCACAGTATAGCGCCCGAGAAGCAGACAGGACCGGGCAACAGACTTCCATCATCCTGCCCAGTAGTGGCTGCTGCCAGCCAGGGCTTATGGCAGGGGTCAGCAACCTTTTTCAGCCATGGGCTGGTCCACCGTCCCTCAGACCTTGTGGGGGGCCAGACTATATTTTGGAAAGAAAAAAAATATGAACGAATTCCTATGCCCCACAAATAACCCAGAGATGCATTTTAAATAAAAAGGCACATTCTACTCATTTAAAAACATGCTGATTCCTGGACCATCTGCAGGCCGGATTGAGAAGGCTATTGGGCCGCATCTGGCCCTCGGGCCTTAGTTTGCCTACCTATGGCTTATGGGATAAGGAGCAATATAAATGTCAAGTGACAATAAATGTCATGGACTGAGACACTGAGGGATCCCCATGGGCGGCAGTGAGGGTCAGGGTGTTAACAAAGGGCATTCTCTCCCTTGCAGATTCCCGAGTGTTGTTATTTTTTGAAATGTCTCTTCTCCTTGCAGGAAGAAAGCAACCTCCCAGCGCAACCTTCCCTTCTTTCCCCAACGCCATCTAGTATAATAATAATAGCAGTAAGAGCAACACTTGGATGGCTGATCAAGGTGTAGAGAAGTGTCAGGAGACACCAAAAGCTGAAGACTTGGTAGTGGACACTGAAGAGGAAGAGGCAGTGACTGACCAGAAGGAAGAAGGAAGTGAGGTTCAGTTGGATCTCTCCACTGAAGATGGTGCCAAAAAAGTTGTGCCAGGCATAATTTACCTTGGTCACATCCCTCCTCGCTTCCGGCCGCGACACGTCCGTAACTTGCTTAGTGTGCATGGTGAAGTAGGACGTATTTTCCTGCAGCCTGAAGGTGAGCCTTCTTGGTGTGTATTGGGGAGCAGTGGGCAGGGGTGGGTGGGTCTGCCAATCAGCAGAACAGAGTCAGGCAGAATAAACGCCATGGTGAAAGGCTACAAAGCAAAATATCATGTTGGATGCAGGCGCCTTAGAACCGGTGTTAGCATTTGGTATGGGGAGTGTATGAAAGACGTGGAGATTAGTGTAGAGAAGCTGATTTCAGAGTGTTATTTGATTTATGATCTGTATGCCACCTTAATTGAAGCGTTGTGCAATTCTTACATTTTCAAAGGGTGTGAAAAAACTGCAGTTGAGTGAGAAATCTAGAAGCCAGTGGATGTGTGGACTGAGGTTACATTTAAAACTAGGCCATTGTCACATTCTGCACAAACCTGTAACCCTCCTCTCTGTGTCCTGCAGAGCGATTTATACGAAAGAAAAAAAAGAAAGCAGGTAGCAATGCCAAGAACTTCACTGAAGGCTGGGTAGAATTCAGGGATAAGCGTGTGGCAAAGGTGGTAGCTGCCAGTTTGCACAATACGCCCATGGGTGTCCGCAAGAGGAGCCGATTCCATTATGACCTCTGGAATATGAAGGTAAGTCGGTGCTGAGGGCTGCGCCAGTAAATAAGGATTACTCCCTTCGCATCTAGTTGATCTTGTGACTTAAACTCTCCGTTGAAGAAATGAGGTGTAAAGTGGCCTTTCTGAAGGAACTTCCCTCTCGCTCTCTCATTGGATGAAGTCATGAGTTTGCAAAAGGCTCTCTCACATCTTCTATTCATTAATGTGGTGCAAAACAAACTGCTTTACAAAACTATGCTTGGATGGGCGGGCACAAATATCACAGTGCTTCTTGCTCTCAAAGCCCAGGGAGCTGGGGGGGACGGACAGGGATGGTCAAGTCCAGAGTTGACCCTCAAAGTAATATTTCACTTCCAAGGAGAAGAAACAATGAATCCATATGGGTATCTTTTCATATGCGAACAGCGTCGCATTGGCAAATCAGCTACATTCTGGAATAGCAATGGGCTGCTGCCAAATGTGGGTCATGAGGGGATCCTTTTGGGGGAGTACAGTCATTTCTCTGCTCCCATTCCAGCTCCTTTTGATGATGTCAGATCATCCAAGTATGAGTTCTCCATATCACTAAAATGTTTAATGCTGCATGATTGTGGAGATTAACCCACTGAGCAGGTGTCACTGGAGAACAGAGGTGCTTCTTGATCATTCAGAAGTTGGCCATTCCTGGTTGCACGATTGTCAAATCTTTTAAGCCTACGTAAGGAAAAGAGACCACAGGACTCTATGCACTGTATAAAGTATCACGCTCCTCCACATGCAGCTGCTGGGTGACCTTGGGCTAGTCACACTTCTTTGAAGTCTCTCAGCCCCACTCACCTCACAGAGTGTTTGTTGTGGGGAAGGAAGGGAAAGGAGAATGTTAGCCGCTTTGAGACTCCTTCGGGGAGTGATAAAGCGGGATGTCAAAGCCAAACTCTTCTTCTTCTCTGCTGTTGGAGGTGGCACGCTTTTAAATGCCCGTTGCTGGGAGTGGCCTGTGGAGGACGTCCCTCTTGCATCTGGTTGGCCACAGTTAGAAGCAGAGTGCTGGACTTGGGCCTTTGGCCTGATCCTGCAGGGCCCTTCTTAAGTTTCCTTGTCTTTTGTCCCCAGTATCTGCACCGCTTCAAGTGGACTCACCTGAGCGAGCGACTGGCCTACGAGCGTCAGGTGCGGCAGCAGCGCATGCGGGCCGAAGTTTCACTGGCCAAGCGTGAGACTAATTTCTACCTGCAGAATGTAGAGAAGAGCAAGCGCTTTTCTGAAAAGGGCAGTCGGGGAGGACAGGAGGAGAAGAGCTGGGGCTTTGTCCAGCGCCAGACTGAGGAGGAAATCCAGACCAGCAAAGGGAACAAGCGCCTGAAGAAGCAGTTGGCCCGGGCTGCTGAGATCCAGCAGAAATCCCAGTCAAACAGCTCTCTCCTATCCAAGATCTTCAATATCCAACAGTAGGGCTTGTCCTCTGGAATGTCAGATTTGCTGCTGACCCTGGTTTAGCTGCTGCCTGCTGGGTTTTTATAAGCCAAGCAGACTCAGTCTATTCTTGAACCTACCAAAGCAGGCAGGGGAAGTTCATTCTTTGATGTCAGGTGCACGGCACATTTTATACATATGCTGTGGTTGTAAAACTTGTTGATCTTTCTGCTGTGCGGAGCCTCTTTTTAGGAAGCTGTCCAGCTTTGCCTGAGCAGCATGAAAGCTTTCCCCTGTGGGGATTTGGCAAAGGTTTGCTCTTTTGGTTGTTCTCTTGGCGGCTGAGATTGGCACTGGCCGTCCCACCTTTCCAAGTCCCGAATCAAGTTCAGAAGTTGATCCAGCGGAATAGTGTACTGTTCTAGATCGGATGCTGCTGTGGGGGAGGGGAGCTGAAACTAGCTGGAATCCAGTTGCTAACAGGAACCTTGATCTTCATTTAGAAATTGGGGGGAGGGGAGGGGAGGAACAGTGCCTTTGTGGACATATCAGTTCTCTGCCACTGATCATCCAAGGTACTTTGGAATGAGAAGCGCCAAACGGGAGATTCTATGTGTTTTGATGACATTAAGGTGATAATACTGTTAAGTCAACATGCAGCTGATATTTGAAACAAACATCTGGGGCTAGAACAGCAATAATCACACAGACCCCATGAAAATGTTATTTTTCCAAAAAGTATTGAATTTCATATATTGGCCAAAAAATGTGGTCTGTTACTACTGGAATTATTTCAATTTTTTATTGTTTTTATTTTGCATTTCACCATGTTTCAACAATAGAAATTAAGCCTAAGCAGACTCCACCTACATTAGGAATTATTTCCATTTTTAATGTGTGAGAGAGAAAGCAGGTACCATCTGGTAAATAAAAAAATCATTTTGTGAAGCACTGGTTATGCCTGTTCTTCAACAGCAGTGTGTGGACATCAAGTGGGAAGAGTTCTAAAGTAGTACAGTATCAGATTCCCTGTTTAGGTAAAAGAACAGTTGGATTATTGTAGCTCTGGTTTGAAACACTCAGCATTTCTCTGGTAAGCCATACACTATATGTTACATACAGCTTCATTATGCAGGAAAAGCCTGAAACAGAATAGAGTTTTGATGGTCCACAATCTCAGTTGAGGCCTTGGAATTGTGTCTGGTACTTGGAGCCCAGAAATCCTGATGAAAGCTTCCACGTTTCCATCCAAATGTCTTTTCTCTGCTGGAATATGATTGATGTGTTTTAGTTCTGCAATATGGGTTCTGAATCTTACCCTCCAGAGGAGGAGGAAGACATGGAAAGGCATAGAAACAAGCTGGTATAATGATTAACATTGAGTTTACATTCTCAGCCTTTTCTGCCTCTAAGTGAAAGATGGAGAGGTTCCTGCTGTATTGATGTGAGAAGGCAGACATAAAAATAAAAGCAATTTGACAAGCTCTGAAAGACTTTGAGAATTCCTTCTCCCTTCACTCCGCCCTTTCCCTTCAAAACTGAACTATTTGTATCCCGTTCATGTTGTCCTAAATGATTAATTTAACCTTTCTTCGTCTGTATTGCCAATCAGGATTCAGGCCCCATCATGGGACTGAAACTGCCTTGGTTGCACTGGTTCTCCGGCAGGTGAAAACTGCCTCCAGGTCCTGGATTTCTCAGTAGCCTTTGATACAGACCATGGTGTGCTTCTGAACCATCTAGAGGAGTTGGGAGCTGGGGACATAGTTATCCAGTGGTTCTTATCCCTCCTAGGCTGTGTCCAGAAAGTGGTGTTGGAGGGGGGACAAGTGTTGAGACATCTGGGAAGTCACTTGTGGCGTGCCTCAGGGCTCCATCCTTCCCCTCCCCCCCCTTTTTTTAACATCTATATGAAGCCTCTGGGACAGATTGTCAGGGGGTTTGGAATAAGTGTTCACCAGTATGTGGAGGATACCCAGCTCTACCTCTTTTTAAACTCATAGCTGTCCGTGGATGTACAAGTAAATTCTGTGTCCAGGGTGGCTGTCTACCAGCTCCATTTAGTATGCCAGCTGAGACCCTATTTGTCTCAAAGTGGTTTACAAAAAGATATAAAGAACATTGAGAAAATTTGCTGTATTTCAATTTTGCTCAAATAGAAAGGCTTGTGGTTGGTTTGCATCACAGAATTGTAGTTGGCACCGGGGGTCACCTATTCTAGCCCAACCCCCTACAACAAAGATTTCTAAACTGTGTGCTGCAACACATCAGTGTCTGCTGCAGATTGTAGGTGTGTTGTGCAAACACCTGGAGTACTGTGTCCAGTTCTGGGCACCACAGTTCAAGAAGGACACTGACAAACTGGAACGTGTCCAGAGGAGGGCAACCAAAATGGTCAAAGGCCTGGAAACGATGCCTTATGAGGAACGGCTAAGGGAGCTGGGCATGTTTAGCCTGGAGAAGAGGAGGTTAAGGGGTGATATGATAGCCATGTTCAAATATATAAAAGGATGTCACATAGAGGAGGGAGAAAGGTTTTCTGCTGCTCCAGAGAAGCGGACATGGAGCAATGGATCCAAACTACAAGAAAGAAGATTACACCTAAACATTAGGAAGAACTTCCTGATAGTAAGAGCTGTTTGACAGTGGAATTTGCTGCCAAGGAGTGTGGTGGAGTCTCCTTCTTTGGAGGTCTTTAAGCAGAGGCTTGACAACCATATGTCAGGAGTGCTCTGATGGTGTTTCCTGCTTGGCAGGGGGTTGGACTTGATGGCCCTTGTGGTCTCTTCCAACTCTATGATTCTATGATTCCCTCTCCTCCAAGGGTGCCAAATGATGCATGTCTAAAAAGTGTCACCAACATGAAAAGTTTGGAAAGCTGCCCTACAATGTAGAAATCTCTACAGTCCCCCATCCAATTTGAAACTGTACTGGACCTTGCTTAGTTTAACAGATTGAGGTTGAATCCTGACAAGACAGAAGTACTGTTTTTGGGGGACAGGGAGCGGGTTGGTGTGGGGGATTCCCTGGTCTTGAATGGGGTAACTGTGCCCCTAAAGGACCAGGTGCGCAGCCTGGGAGTCATTTTGGACTCACAGCTGTCCATGGAGGTGCAGGTTAACTCTGTGTCCAGGGCAGCTGTCTACCAGCTCCACCTGGTACGCAGGCTAAGACCCTACCTGCCCGCGAACTGTCTCGCCAGAGTGGTGCATGCTCTAGTTATCTCACGCTTGGACTACTGCAACGTGCTCTACGTGGGGCTACCTTTGAAGGTGACCCGGAAACTGCAATTAATCCAGAATGCGGCAGCTAGACTGGTGACTGGGAGTGGCCGCCGGGACCATATAACACCGGTTCTGAGAGACCTGCATTGGCTCCCAGTACGTTTCCGAGCACGATTCAAAGTGTGGGTGCTGACCTTTAAAGCCCTAAACGGCCTCGGTCCTGTATATCTGAAGGAGCGTCTCCACCCCCATCGTTCAGCCCGGACACTGAGGTCCAGCGCCGAGGGCCTTCTGGCGGTTCCCTCACTGCGAGAAGTGAGGCTACAGGGAACCAGACAGAGGGCCTTCTCGGTAGTGGCGCCCGCCCTGTGGAACGCCCTCCCATCAGATGTCAAAGAGATAAATAATTACCTGATATTCAGAAGACATCTTAAGGCAGCCCTGTTCAGGGAAGTTTTTAATATGTAACGCTGTACTGTTTTTAACACTGATTGGGAGCCACCCAGAGTGGCTGGGGAAACTCAGCCAGATGGGCGGGGTATAAATAATAAATTATTATTATTATTATTATTATTATTATTATTATTATTATTAGCTTTGCAAATGTGTTAGCAGTTTTATAGCTGCACCACTAGGCATCACCATCATTTCTTTTATTATTCTATTTCTTATCTGCCCTTGACCACAAAGCCCCAGGTTGGGTTACAGCAATTTAAAAATACTGTATTAAAACAGAATAGTCAAAAGAACAGGGTGAATCCTAAAACATGTCTCGGGGTTCAAAGACCATGTAGAGACGCATCTTCAGGAACTCCAAAGAAACTCTTAACAGCCTCTCACTGAGGCTGTTTTGTGGGCCAGAACCTCATTGCAGCACGCAGAGGCCAACATGCTGTGTTGTATTTCATGAGCATTTCCTTTGCATCCAAAAGGCGGCTTTGGGGACAAAGATGTGCTTTTGGCTGCATTGCAATGGCAAGGGATTACCACAAGGGGGAAGCAGAGTATGCACCACCTCTATACCAGAGGCAGGGACTCTTCAAGTCAGAGGGCTGCACTCTCTCTTGGGCAACCTCCTGGGGGCCGAATGCCGGTGGTGGGAAGAAACAAAACTGGCTTTTATTTTTGTGCATCAAGCTGCAATTCCAGCCAGGTGAATGCGCTCAGGGGAGGCAGCAGCAGGGATGGTGCACTGCAGACTGCCCAGAGGGTATTGGTAGAGCTTGTGATTTGTTGGTTCCCTTGAATGCTCTGGAAGGGGCAGGCTGAGGACTTGCCCTGGAATCGCACAACTTGAGCAGCTCCTTAGGCCTTTCAGTTTTAGCAGCAGAGAGGCCCCTCTAAGTAAAGCTCCAGTTACTGAACTATCGGTTCCTGTTCTTGAACTCAGAAACGTTGCTCTCACTCCTGCTGTGCAAAGCACCAAAACCATTTTTCCGAGTGTGGGTCCTTACCCAGGCCAAACTGCCCCTACCTATAGAAGAGGGAAATAGCAGCAAGCCTTACAGGAACCCCAAGGTGTACAAAAAATTATTACTGGAGGGGGGAATCTCAAAAGGGAAAACCCAGAAGCAGCTCAACGTGGACTGACTTGAGAAAAAGAGGGGGGGGATGGAGCGCCGCAGAAGCTGCTGGTGGCTGGAACCCTGAAGAGCACTCTGCACAGCGTATTTTGCAGGCTTCCTTTGTATACACCAGGGGTCAGCAACCTAAGGCCCATGGGCCGGAAGCAGCCCACAGAGGCTGTTTAATTGGCCCACAAGCCGCCCCCAAACCAAGCTGCCCGGCAAGTCCCTGCAAGCTGCGTTAAACTGGCACAGGGACTCTCTTCTGCGGCTCTGAAAATCACTTCTGTGCATGCCCAGACACCGGAAATCACATCTGTCCATGTCCGCGGCACCAGAAATCGCTTCTGCGCAGGCGCGATTTTAGTGTATGGGCATGCGCAGAAGCGATTTCTGGCGCCACAGACATGCGCAGATGTGATATCCGGCGCTGCGCTGGCCCGCGGGGGATCTTCGTGGGAGTGATCCGGCCCATACCCAGTTAAGCCTTGCCGACCCCTGGTATGCAGTCTTACTACGCAAGTCGAATGCCTTGCAAGTCAAACGTTTTGGCTCTCGAATGCTGCAAACCCAGGAGTGTTCCGGTTTGCGAACGTTCTTTGGAACCCAAACATCCGACGTGGCTTCTGATTGGCTGCAGAAGCTTCCTGCACCCAATCGGAAGCCACGCCTTGGTTTCCAAACGTTTTGGAAGTAGAACGGACTTCAAGAACAGGCTCTGTTCGACTTCTGAGGTACAACTGAATTCATAATAAATCTTTAGGAATGAGGCAAAGCAGTTAATACCACATGATCTGATAACTGCAGGCGTGTCCCCAAGATGGGGGGGAAAGCATGTGTCTGGGAGGGAGCGCGAAGGTAGATGACAAGCCTCACTTTTTACACATCTGAATCTGTGTATGTTCATGTTTTTGTGCGCAGCTCCCAAGCCCTTGTACACAGCCTACATGCATAAAGCTTGTCCATATGTAAAGATTACACAGGTGGTCAGTTTAACCCCTGCAGCTTGGGGCTGGACTGACCACTGCCATCCTTCCCCATCTGCATTCAGTCGACACCTTCAAGATACTATCACCTCCTATGAACTGGGCCAGGTTCTGAGATCGTTGGGGGAGGGCCCTCTTTTGGTCCCGCCACCCTCACAAGCATGGCTGGCAGGGACATGGGACAGGGCCTTCTTGGTGGCTGCTCCCAGACATTGGAACTTTGTGTCTTTACAGCACAGTTGAATTCTAGAATTTCATTTTTCATTTAAAATGCCTCCCTCCCCTGCCCTTCCTTTTGCAGCTGCTGTAAGAGGGCAATTGTTCTCTTGGTAGAATAGTAGAAAAACAGCCTGTTGTTGAAGCAACACTTCAAGCAGTGTGAAATGGCAGGTTGTGCAGTACACAGCACCTTGCAGTTTAACACCTGTGCTTTTAGTTGCTCATGCATTTTAGAAGTTGCAGCTGCCCCTCTTCTCAAGAGAACGTGTGTTCTTGAAAGAAGCTGAAACCTTAAAAATGTCACCAGCCAACAAAAATTTAATATGACATTCCCAAAAGGCAAAAAAGTGGGGGGCACAGTAATTACCAGGAACAGGTACCAGAAAATAGGGGTACCAATTACCAAGAACAGGTACAGAAAATAGTACTTTTGACAAGTGAATCTCTGAGCACAAGTCAAATGCAAGTATGTAGCACGATACTGAAAAAATG